AAGTTCATTTTTCGACATAACGACTTGTACATCTCATTGTTGCAACGGGTCCACCTGTATCCCTATTTAAACGATTTGTTTTTCCCCTTCCCCTCCACAAATTATACTGACATCAAATACAGTGAAAGCAGGGGTTATACCATGGGGGAAGGACATACAAAGCAACAAAGAAATCATCTTATAAATGTGTTAGAAACAATCACATGAAAGAAAAAAACATTTGAATACATATCTTAGGGTTCATTTCCCTAACATCAACTTATCTGATCTTTTCTGCTTGACTCAGACATATACTAGTTATTGCATATAAGGGAAAACATGGGACCTATGTTTCTTTGGGCTTGGCTTACTTCACTTAATATAATTTTTTCCAAGCCTTTCCATTTCCTAACAAATGGAGCAATGCCATTCTTTCTGATGGAGGCACAGAATTCCATTGTGTATATATACCACATTTTCTTGATCATTCATCTACTGAGGGGCATCTGGGTTGGTTCCATAGCTTAGCTGTGGTACATAAGGCTGCAATAAACATTTGACTGCCACTTCTTTACAAAAACTGGTAAGCGGCCTTCCTCTGAGTTACCCTAGTCTCACGGTAGTGCAATGGTTTTGGTGAGCCCCTGGGGGCAGATGTGGTAAAGGGCACAGCGCCTGACTCTCCAGCTCCAGGCGTCTAAACACAGGAGTCTATACTTAACAGCCTCTACTTCTGCAAGCTCTCTCTTACCCTGATCCCTAGGGCTGGGGTCCATTCCAACCTTAAAATAAGCCTATTCTATAGATCACAGACCTCTATGAGTAGATTGAGACTGGAGAACAGAGGTCAAGCAGACAGAGGTATTATTTTGCCTCCCCCTACAGGACACAGCCATGATTCAACTGGGCCTATGTTTCTGGGTCCTCCTCTGTGCGGAGAGCATACAGAAATCTGCCTTTGTAGGTGAAGTCTCTTGGCTTCCAAATGCTAGTGAGTCACCCAATGAACAAGTCACGTCTTCAGCCGCTGCTCTGTGAGTTGTCATCCCCAGGTTTTGTCCCTTCCCTCTCCTCTGCAGTCTCTCCACATCTCAGCTCTCACATCACCTCCTTAAGAATGCCTTTCCATCTCCTTCTTTCACCTTACCTTCTCCAGAAAGCCAGGAAAAAATGTCCTTGTCCTTGTACCCCACACTCATCTTTCTCAAAGATACCGTGGCCATAGGCACCTTCTTCCCTGTTCCTGCCAGGCTCATCAAAGGCCTTGGCAGTCCTCATTCATGGGAGCACTGAATCCTCATGCTGTCCTGGAAATCCTCCTAGAAAGCAATCTGACCATTTTGCTTCCCTGAGAAAACAGTACAAACCATCAAAACAAACTTTTCTATAGGCAGGGCACCCATGTCCAGAACAGAGCCAAAAGTCCAGAACATTCAGCTTCCCCACCGATGGCCTGTTACTGCAGCCCATCTCTTATAGTGGCATCCTGTGCTTCCAATGCCTTCCTGCCTCTGGCCCTGTACACCTCCTCTTCTAGTCCCCAGTGCATCCTCTTCTCTCCACAGTCTCAGCCTTCCTTGGCTATATCCTCCTTTGTTTCTCAGTCTAAAGATTTCTCAAGGAGGCATCCTCAGACATGGTTCCCAACTTAATTAGGCCCTTGCATGGTACCTGTACTTTTCCTTCATGAATATTTTTCACAATTGTAATTATTACATCATTAGGTCCAGGATTATCTGTGAGGAATCTATTCTCTCTATTAGAGTAGACGACTTTATGAGGATAAGTTGTGCCTGCTACATGCATATGGGGTGTGTGTGTGTGTGTGATGTGTTATACCCAGTGTGAATCTCACAGCAGATGGCACTTCTACTGGGCCACTCATCTAACACAATCACAGGTACACAGTCTTTGCCCCCATGCAGAGAGAACAGAGCATGTGTGGTGCCTCTTTCCTTGCTGACACCCCCTGAGCTCTGTACCAGCACTCAAAGGAAGATAGATCATCCTTACACTTTTGATTGAAGATCCACTAAGAGGAAAAAAACATAGCTAACATTGCCTCTGAACACAAGGAATAGTCTTGGGTACCTTTAAAAGACAACTTGTCTCACGTTCCTACTTAAATTGAATGAGACAACCTGAGAAGTATAGTTCTGAAAATCATACTACATCTGAATCTAAGGATGCTCAGTGTACCCTGTGGAATGCTGCATGTCGGCTCAGACCTTTCTTCGTTGTCTATAAAAAGGATATTTTTAAATCTGAAAAGAAACTGAGAAAATCAAAATAGGAAGAAATGGAAGCTACACTCTTACTTTTCCCAAATGATCTGGTTTCATTGTGTCTTGTGAGAAATGAGACCATTGCAGTTGTGTTAATTTTTTTCCACTGAGATAAAGCAAAAATGTGTACATATATCTGTTTACCTCCCAGTTTTACTGGCCAACCTTTGGACTATTATTAAAGCCAAGCAACCAGTTCTAAAAGAAAATTAAAGCCATTCAATTATTATCCAAGCTGATACTGGCATCCTTTGTCTATTTCCTACTGTTGCCAGGAGCAACAATGTGTCAAGATATTCTATCCGTGATGATACAATGAAATTTCTGTTAAAAGCCCTTGATTAGAAAAGCCAATCTCTTCTTCCTTATAAGCAAGAGGCTTATTTCAAACAAAAATCCTTTCATTCTCCCATCACCGAAAATAGTTTTTTTAGTAAATGTGTTCTACTTTCAAATATTAATATGTAGTATCTGTTAACTGGATTGCTTAAAAGCCCTTTACATTGTACTTCTTGAAAACAATTGACAGAATAATTTCCAATTAAAATAAGAATGACACAGGAACTAAGAGCAGCTGTATGTTTAATAAGATTGTGCGTTCATATCATGTGCTCACTCCGCAGGAGTTGCTCTAGGTAAAGCTGAGGTGAGGATAACATTTGTTCACACACCCATCACACTGATCAGTGGTGAGTAGTGTCCATTGACAAGGTGATGGACACTAATAAAATTTGTATTCCCTTTAGTGCTGCTATCAGTAGTAACTGCCTAGAAAGAAACACAAGTTTTAATTGACTTGAAAGAGCGTCTTTTATTCCTCTTCTGATTTTTCCATTTTCACAGCCTTGTTGTAAACCACTTCATCATAAATCATGCATTGTTCTTCATTTTCTCAGACTGCAGAATGGGCAGCAAGCCCCTCCAGGTCCTGGCTGGTACAATACTGTAGTGAGAGGCAGTATTCGTAAAACCATCTGAATCACTCCTGCTTTGCACTTGAACTGTGTGTTGAGAAGGGAACTAGGAACTCTGGGCTCTTTGTTCTCATGCAACTTCTGCAGGATCCCAACCAAAGTATTGAACATCTTTGCACTTCATTTTCCTCTTTTTCAAAATGAGGAAATGAAATTCTATGAGATATTGAACATAGAATGATATATAGAACATAGAATGGAAAATATACAATTTATTCAACATTTTCATTGGCTAATAACATATGAACATAAACTGGCTTTCAGACTAGGCTCTGAGAGAATCAAATTTTTTGGCCCTGATATATACTTGGAAAAAATCTTTACTTGAAAAATGCCAAAGCACAAAGGTAGAAAATCATAAGGAATCCTACTAATTTTAAAAATAACTAGTTTAAAAATCAGTTTCCCTGATGGTGTGATGATTCAAGTGTCTCCATATTGGAAAACTTTATAATCCTTAAAAAGAAATTAAATGTAAGCACAACAAACAACAGTGTAACTAAATCAGTTTGGTAATGGCTAGTAGCTAGTGCTTAGTCAATTTGTCAGACAAATAGCAGAGAGAGCAATGGTAAAAGAAAAGAAGAAGCCACGCATCACAGCATACAACTATGAGACCAGAAGTCTGACAGAGGAAGATTTCAAGTTTGTGGCCAGCTTGGGCAACATAGTGAAACATTGTCTCCAAAGAGAAAGAAGAATCGGTGCCTTTGGCTCACACCTTTAATCCTCACTACTCAGGAGGCTGAGATCTGAGATTACCATTGGAAGCCTGGGGCAGGAAAGTCCCTGAGACTCTTGTCTCCACTTAACTACCAAAAAAGTGGAAGTGAAAATGTGGCTTGAGCTCAGGAACAGTGCCGAGGCCCTGAGTTTAAGCCTCAAAACTGGCCAAAAAAAAAGAGGAGGAGAAGGAGAGGTGCATCTGCAGACATGTTCATACTTGAAATGCTGGATGGTTTGGATTATTTGGCAAAGCCAGGTTTATAGTAAAATGTTTATTATTTCCCAGAGTGTATAGCTTTTTATGAGCAGCACTGAACTGCATCTTGCTAGCTAGGTTAAGTGATGTATATTTTCCACTAAGAAGGAGTTATTAAATGAAATCTACAAATCACCTGTACTTCTGGAGTACCATTGTGAAAATTACTATTTAAGTTTGAGCCTTAGGGATTCCTCTGGGTAATTTAATGCAATCTGACATGTCTAGAAGAAACAGGCTATTAATACATTAACTTAAGCTAATTTTTCTCACCATTGGGGTCTAAAGAGACCCAAAGGCTTAAGGGAAAACTCGGGTGTTGAAGTGGGCAAACTCAGCACTTCTTAATCCCAGAAACCCCTTGCCCTTCTCCCACTCTGTATATGGCATTTCTTCTATCTCAGATACCGGTGTACATCCTGAAGTTCTCTCCTCCTGAGGAACTCATAGTCACTGTCAATGTTCAAGATCATAGATTGTGAAGACCCTTCTCCCACCAATCCACAACTATCTCCATTAACTACTCAGAATTGGTAGCTTGCTCCTTTGGGATTCTGATTCTTAATGACAAATGGCTCTCTTCCAGGGGTGAGGTTTCCTTGGGGGTGGGGAAAACAGTCCAAGTTGTCTGCATCTTCAGTCTCCAGTCCAGACACAGTACCAGAAAACGAGAAGAGTATATGTTTAACAATTTAATGGCACAATATGTCAACTAACAAGAAGTTGCTTGCTTTAGAAACATAGTCTCTGTCAACTTAATATTATCTTTCTTAAACTTAGGTTCAGCTGACCTTGATCCTTCCATGGTATTGGATGCTGGAGAGATCATTGATGCAGGATCTGATTATGAAGATCAGGTAACTGTCTTCTAAATATAGTTCTTTTGAATGTTTTGAATTTTAGCCTTTGTAGATGTATACCAATTCGAAATACCCACTTTGTGAAATCTTAACAAACAACTTCATGGTAAGTAATAGTGGTCTACAATTTTCTTTCACTCTTTAGCCGTCCCTTATCCACAGATCCAAAACATCAGCTAGTAAAGGAAAGGTTTGTGGTCAAAATGTACCTGTGATAAGCCAGGTCCCAGTGGCTCAGGTTTGTAATCCTAGCTACTTAGAAGGCTAGATCTGAAAGACTGAGATTCATGGCCAGCCCAGGCCAAAAAAAAAAAAAAAAATTACTAGACTCCATCTCCAAAATAACCAGCATCAGGGATGAAGATATGGCTCAAATGATAGAATGCCAACCCAACAAGGCCCTGAGTTCAAGCCCCAGTGCACCCTAAAAATGAGGGAAATAGAATTACTTGAAATAGACATACGATATTCTTGCGTAAGAACATGTCTGTATCTCTATCTTTTCCCAGTAATGAACTAAGACTATGTACTGAGCATGGACTACAGGTTCAAGCACCTTTTTCTGTTTCTAACATTCATGTGGGAATGATGACCAAGAGAAGCATAGCCAAGAAGTTAAATGTATTTTGGTTAAAAAAATACCAAAGACATTTTTCTGGGTCATGTTCCTCTCCACAGAAGAACTCGCCGACTGCTATTTTAATGATTCGAAATAGTTGGCAAATGATCCAACTCTCTAATTAAATTTTAAAAGAAGGAGGAAGAGGAGGAGGAGGAGGAGGAGGAGGAGGAGGAGGAGGAGGAGGAGGAACAGATAATACCTGAAATTTTCTTAACTCTTTTCAGCAGTGCTCCTCAGCAATGGCTGAAAGCCAAGCTAATAGTTGTTACAAGTAGCAAACAGATCTGACCACAAATACAATAATGGATATTTGTGATAATTTTGCTATTTAGGAAGCCCTCACTACGTGGAAAACATTATGCTAACAAATTTTCTTACATTGATCCTCCCATTCATTTTTCTCAACCTTTCACAATTATTATTTCTACTTCACAGACAGAATAATTAAGATGGCAAGAGTAATTTGCCCAACATTCCACAAGTAGTTTCACTGTGGGGACACGATCTTAGGACATATTCCCTCATACCCACACTACAATGCCTCCCAGCCTAACTACCACAAACATGCCATTCAGTGACACAGTTTTTGGAGCCTTCTTAACCGCTGGTTCTAAAAGCCTCAGTAGAAGCGAATGTCTAACAATCATGTACAATTTGTATCAAAAGCTTTACACTGTACAAAAAGAAAATGAGCTGCAACAAATAAGATGTTTTACAACCCAAGAAACTAGAAATAGAGAAACCTGAAAGATATCTTAATATAGCAATATTTTAAATACTCAAAGAAATAAAGGGAAGAAACCATCAAACAAATATAGGAAATAATGAAAGGGACAAAGAGAAAGAAAGGGTGGAGAGCTAGACTTTCAAAGCACAGAAGCTATTGTCACAAATAAAATATTCAACTGAATTTTTATTAAAATCAATATTAATTGCAGACTGCTATTAGGATCTTTGGAATGTACAATTATATTAAACAGGTAAGGATACTTATTTTATGGAGCTTTCGTCTTAGTAAAGAACATAATAAATTATCAAATTCTCCAGATTGTCCAGAGATGCTAAATTCTATGAGAAAAGGAAAAGTAGAACAGGATGAGGTGGGGGTAGGAATATTGGGAGACGGAACAGACCACCATATTAAATAGAATAACCAATACTAAATGAGATGATCTCATTGAAGATGTAAGATTTGAGCAAAAGTAAAATGTGGTATAAAACATCAGAGCTTGGAAAACAGAAATAAAATATTACAACAAAATATTACTGATAAAGGAATAGTGAATTCAATGGCAGCAGATCAAATGAAACAACAGCTTGCATTTACCATACTGAGCATCAGGTGTGATTTACATACAGTATTGCTAATCTTTACAATACCTTAAGAAAGCAGCTGTGTTAAGTCCTAACTTACAAAGTGAGGAAACTTGGGTTTATAGAACGTAAATGATTTCCCAACACTACACAACTATCATGTTATAGAATGAGAAGATAGCTGGCTCATGCCTAGCTACTCAGAAGGCTGAGATCTGAGGATCACAGTTCAAAGCCTGCTTGAGACGGAAGGTCTGTGAACTTATTTCCAATTAACTACACACATACACACACACACACACACACACACACACACATGCACAAAACAATGCTAAGCTGGGTGTGGTAGCTCACGCTTGTAATTCTAGCTACTCAAGGGGCTGAGATCTGAGGATCACAGTTCAAAGCCAGCCTGGGCAGGGAAGGCTATGAGCTTCTTATATCCAATAAACCACTCAGAAAACAAGAAGTAGTGCTGTGGCTCAAGTGGTAGAGCGCTAGCCTTGAGCTGAAGAGCTGAGGGACAGCGCCCAGGCCCAGAGTTCAGGCCCATGACTGACAAAAAAAGATGCTGAAAATGGAACCATTACTCAGGTGATAAAACACTAGCTTTGAGTGAAAAAGCTAAGGGACAGAACCCAGGCCCTGGTATCAGCACAAAAAAAGAAGGAGGAAGAGAAAAAAAAGAGGAGGAGGGAAGAAAGGAAGGATGGGAGGGAGGGAGAGAGGAAGGAAGGAAGGAAAGAAGGAAGGAAGGAAGGAAAGAAGGAGACAACAATGCAAAGACAATAATGACAAACTTTCATCCTCCTGGCATCAAAATCTAGCTTCTACTTTCACCATTCCAAAAAAGCCATCATCAAAGCCTCTGGAAATCAAAGCCTCTTAATTCCAGTTAACACTTTTCATTTTATCTTTTTTAACCTGGACTTATTTGGACATTGTAAAAGTCACCAAACTTCTACATTAAATCATTAATAAAGATTTTAGGCTTTGCAAGCCATATAGTTTCCATGGCAAGTAATCAAACTGCGAAACAAATGAACTTGTTCCAGAAAAACAATGCATAACACAATATAATTTTCGTGTGATTTATTTCAAGCACCTTAATATGTCAGGCTTTTTCAGCTGAGAGGCTGTGTAAAACTGTAGCAGGAGATGCACAAAACACTATGTTGAAAACAAACTTTACAACTTCGGTGGGGGGAGGGGGTAGTTGTAGAGGTAAGGAGGGAAGGGATGGTAGGGGGAAAACAAAGGAGGAGGCAACAATGCTCAATAGGAAATGTACACATTATCTTGCTTATGTAACTGTAACCCCTCTGTACAGCATTTTTACAATAAAAAAAAATACAGGGCTGGGAAGGTGGCTCAGTGGTAGAGCGCTTGCTTTGCATACATGAGGCCCTGGGTTCGATTCCTCAGCACCACATAAGCAAAAAGAAAAAAGCCGGAAGTGGTGCTGTGGCTCAAGTGGTAGAGTGCTAGCCTTGAGCTGAAGAGCTGAGGGACAGCGCTCAGGCCTAGAGTTCAGGCCCCACGACTGGACCCAAAAAAAAAACAAACAAACATACAAAATAAGAAAAGAAAGCTAAGGGGGAAAAAATGCCTTAGGGTGATGGATTTTCCTAAACTTGTCACTTTGAGAATCTATTTGTTTGAGTACCCTAATGAATCTCTTGAGATATGTAGTAAATTAATATTCTGGATAAAATATTACATTTTGAAAAAAATTACAGTTTGATTGTGGGAAAACCTTAAATATAACTTGAGTATTAGTCAAGTTATTTTTGCCTCTCTTTTCCATCTCAATGATAATTGATTTGTGTATGGAGTAAGTATGGTGAGTCTTTATCAAGAAAAAACATTTTTCCTTGCATAGATAGTTCTTTATTTGATGTGATAGTGTTTAGGTTGTTTCAACACAATACTGGGTAGTTCATAAATACAAAAATAAACATTGGAAAATTAAAAAAAGAAGAAGAAAGCCAAAGTCAGGGAAGTGGTGTTGTGGCTCAAGTGGTAGAGTGCTCGCCTTGAGCTGAAGAGCTGAGGGACACCACCCAGGTCCAGAGTTCAAGCTCCACCATCAACCAAAAAAAAAATTAGAAAGGCAAAGTCAAAGTTCAACAAAATAAACACCAGGAACAGGTTACTTGAAAGGGGTGGGTTGGGGTCAAGGGGAAAGCTGTAAACAAATGAAGAGGAGAAGAGGGGAGAATCAAGAAGATTGAGGGACCATCAGAAAGAATGACATTGCCCCATTTGTAAGGAAATGGAAAGACTTGGAAAAATCATATTAAGTGAAATAAGCCAGGCCCAAAGAAACATAGATGTCATGATTTCCATTATTTGCAATAACTAGTACATGTGTAGGACAAGCAGAAAAGGCCAAAGGCTATGTACATATCACCAGATAAGATGATGTTAAGTGAAATGAACCCCAAAATAGGGACACAGATATCTTTTTTCTTTCTTGCTATTGTTTCTCACGTATTTATAATATACCATGTGAGCTTTTTTTGTTTCTTTGTATGATCCTCCCCTACAGTATAACCCCTGTTTTCACTGTATTTGATTCTGGTGCCCTGCATCTTGTATATACACTTCTCTAATTCAGGAAGGGGAAGGGAAAAAACAAAATCCTTAAATAAAGATACAGGTTGACCCATTATAACAATGAGCTGTACAAAACACTATGTACAAAACACTTTACAACTTTGAGGGGGGGGTGTAGTTGTGGAGGTGGAAGGGAAGGGATGGTAGGTGGAAAACAAAGAAGGAGGCAACAATGCTCAATAAGAAATGTACTCATTACCTTGCTCATGTAACTGTAACCCCTCTGTACAATGTGTTTACAATAAAAAAAAAACGTACACACAAAAAAAAGATCAAAAAATATAGCAGGATGGGTTGGACCAACAGGCCACAGCTCACTTAATCCATCTGCCATTATTGACATTCTTCTCTCCATTCGTTTCTAGCATTTCTAGAGTCTTTACTGGTCTTAGTACTTCATGTTTATTAGATAATAATAATCCTCAAACAGCTATATCATGAT